TTTATATATTTATTCTCATAGTTCGATGTGTCTTTGAGCTTGTTGGTCGAACTTTGCTGTCCCTTTAAACTTTCCATCCTTCTAAAACGATTCTTGAAACTTTTGTACATTTAGATCTATTCTTGAAAGTTTCTTACTGTCGGTTTATAGAGAAAGCATGGGAATGTTTATAATGATAATGATCTTATTTATAAAAAGGATAATTGTGACAAATATAAATTTAAAAAATGGTATTATTCGTAGTCAGATAACAGTAATAGTAAGGATAATTGTGATGATGATGATGATGATAACCATGATAGTAAATGATAATGATGATAATAAAATTAATAATTATAATAATAATAATAATAATAATAATAATAATAATAATAATAATAATGATAATAATAATAATGAGTTTGATGATGATGGGAATGATAACAATAAAGAAAGTGGCAAAAACGAAGGTAATGATAATAGTCATAATAATGAAATTGTGGTAATAATGATAGTGAAAATAATATCAATGATAATGATAATGATAAAGATGATAATGATAATACTAAAATGATAATGATGATAATGATAATAAAAATAATGATAATATTAATGATAACGATCATAAGGATAATAATAATGATAATGATTATGATGATAATGATAATAGCACTGATGGAAATGTAACAACATTATTAATGATAATAATAACGTAAAAGCAACAAAAATGATAATGATAATGATAGCAATGATATAAAAGCGATAATAGTAGTAATACTTTTGCTGTTGATAATGCTAATGATGGCAAAAAATTATTTTAATATCATCATTATCACTTTCATTATTGTTGGTATCATTATCATTATGAACAAACGATGAAGATAATCGTATCCATGGTTATAAAAATAACGAAAATAATGATTATAACAATAAAAACAGTGATAATATTGGTGTTAATGATGATGATATCATTGAGAATAATGGTAAAACTAACACGAATGATAACAACAACAACAACAATAATGAAGATGTGGAGTTAACATCGAACAAATTGCAACAGGAACAACGAAAGGAAGAACAAGAGAACGCACGAATATACCGAAGGCCTTTTCCCTGAAGAAGCAGTGAAGCGAAAAGACCTTTGGCATATTCGTGTGTTTTCTTGTTCTTCCCTTCGTTGTTCCTTCGGCAATAATAAGATAAATAAAAGATAGTTTTAGTAACAATAATGCTAATAAAGACAACGATATTTACGGCAATAACAATGATATGCTAAATGATAATCACCAAAATACCAGTAATAGTTAAACAGCAAGAAAGCAACAAAAGCAACATCAACAACAATGAATTTCATGGAATGTTGCAGCGAAGACCCCCCCCCCCCCACGTTGTACCATTTCTCTCCGTTGCACCGAGTTGACAGGCTCCCGTCCACGAAGGGAAGCGACGTGTTGAACAATGTTGCATGGCGTGAAATCTATAATGAATATTATGGGTGTTGTTGTTATTGTTGTTATCGTCAATGCCATCATTATCATTATTATCATTATCATTGTTCTCACCATTCTTCTTAATATCATTATTATTATCATTATCATTATTGTTAATTGTTATTATTATATTTATCATTATTGTTATTATTATCATTATTATTGATATTATTGTAATTGTTATAGTACTAATAATAATAATAATAATAATAATAATAATAATAATAATAATAATAATAATAATAATAATAATTATCATTATTATTATTAGTTGTAGCATCATTATTATCATTATTATTATTATCATATTCACTATCATCATTATTATCATTATTATTTTCATTATTATTTTTATTATTATTATCATCATCATCATCATTTATATCATTATTTTATCATCATCCCTATTATTATCATTATCATTATTACTACTGTTATTATTATGTTTTCATCGACATCATCATCATTATCATTATTTTTATCATTATAATTATTACTACTACTACTACTATTACTACCTTTTAATTATTACTATCATTTTAAGTATTAACATTAATGGTATGATAATCTTGTTATCATAATCAATATTTCTCTTTTTTATTAATTATTTTTTCCCGCATTTATCATCAAAATTATTGATCATCACTGTGCCCTCCAATGATTCGCACGAAGCTTCGAACCCTTTTTTCAACACAGTGATTCGAAATCTTGAAGCCATTATTCGGACATTTCGGTCGAAACTTCGCGAACAGAAAGTGAAGCAAAAAAAAAAAAAAAAAAAAAAAAAAAAAAAAAAAAAAAAAAATCGTCATATAAGTGTACTTGATGTTTGGTAATTCAATCATGATAGAATTTAATTACGTGTTAGATAATTAGGAAAATTGATAATGACAGGCCTAAAATGAAATGCCTTTGAATCGCTAATGAGACGCGTCACTCTGATAGCGATAAATATAGTAAAGTTATTTAAGATTAATAGTTGGCTGAACAGTGACATGATAATGAAAGGGATAATTTTCTTTAATATGTCC